AAAAAAAAATTCAAAATTCAAAATTTGGAATTCAATTTCAAGGAAATAATGCATTAAATTTAGATTTTCAATGTGTTTTCCTTATTTACCTTAAAGGGTAAAATCGACACAACAAAAAAGTAATAAATGTCAAAGGACCTACATCTAAAACCAAAAACACGAGGACTAGACCCAATGATAGCTAATCGTTTTGGACTTAGATCTAAGAACCCCAAATTATTATTAACAAAAATAGTCAACAAAGTATTGTGTATTATAAAATAAACAGGATACGCTAGAATATTGAGCTGCACGTAAAGTGAATGAGACACAACATTTAACGAGATTCGGCCATGCCTACGTCCTTGGAGGGCAGCAGCAGTAACTTTTCCACTATGCAAAATAATAGGGCTACAACTTTAGTATTTACAACATATGTGGCTCACTGATTTTTCTCTCTTGGAGAATTTCTCTCTGCTCTCTTTTCCTCTCCTCTCACTCTCCCTTTCTTTCCTCCCTCTCTGCCTAACTCTCTTTCTTCTCCCAGTTGGGTGTGTCTGCAAAGGCGAAATAATGCCTTATTTGTAGGCTAAAGAAATGATGCCCGTGCATGTGGTGATAACCCTCCAAGATGTGGCTGACAAGGAATCGAATATGTGGGCTCTGCCCATTATCTTTACAACACTCCCCCTTGGAGACCATAAGTAACTAACAGGTCGTCTCATTAAATTTTGTGAGAGAAGAACCCAGTGAGATAGAGAGTTGATGGAGGGAAGAAGAGTATATCAATCAGTGTAGCATACTTCTGCATGTTCCCCCTGATAAATATCCCCCCTGAAATCTTCATGACTTAACTTTCTGGAGGAAAAATCTTTCGGAGTGAGTGGAGGATGTAGCCATCAAAAACTACTTAGTTGGGTAAGTGAATATACTTCTAGTAAGTGATGTCTATGTAAATCATAGTAATTTCCAGAGTCCGCGTGTCCAACAAAACCTGGGCTATTTGTGAGTTCACTTGAAAACAATATGCCAATATATGGTGTTATGCGGAGATAGCATCAAATATGCCTCTCATCACCCCAAAGTAATGGTGATGGAGCTGAGCTTTATTTGGAAAATACAATGTCTGGTCCAGTATACTTTCAGAAAATCATTTAAGTGCCCAACGGATAATCCACATAAAAATGCTTCAATACCTTCTTAGTATAAGCAAGAATCTCGTTGGCATAATGCTCGATCTTCAAGCCGAGACAAATATTTCTTTAACTCTTCAAGAGTTTTAACCAAGTATTAACTCTTCTGGAGTTTTAATCAATTATCAACTCTTCAGGAGTTGTAATGTGTTGCAACCATATCATAATTAATGTACTCACTGAGGCAATTTATACATATTAGTATTGAGTACCAAATTTGTGTTTCAGGCACATGTCCTTCAAAGACTTGCTTCATGCAATTTCTTTGAAGGATTACACTTCATGACACGTTGTATAGCTTTATATCAAGTTATTTGTTATGCTTGTACATCTTTAGGGAATCGCTTTTGGCGATATGCTCCGTGCATTTAATAACCCTTAAAGATAACATGTTGGTCTCCATAGATGTGCAATAAAAAGGCATGATTGCATCCGTAAGTCTGGAGAACCCCAACATTCCTTGTTTCTATCAGAAACATTGTGTCATATAAAGTGAGTATATTTCTCTTTATTCCGAACACCTAAGTAAAATTTTCAAGATTAATATCCTTTGGGGTTCGTACTATGGGTTTGTTCTTTCACGTTCATTCTCATATGTAATGGAGTTGCCTCTTTCCATTTTTGGCCAATGATATTGTCAACATTTAATGATAGAACGTGGTTCCAATCAACACAACCCTTTGATGATTTGAGTAGCTACTCCAAAACCAAAAATTGTCATTTATCAATTCGTGATCCCACCATTCTCATGTGCAAGCGCATGCATCAATTGTAAGCATTTCTTTGCTTTCGGGTACCAAAGCCACTTCAGGGGGCTTTTATTATCTCTTTCCAAACAAACATCTCTTATAGGATGAATTATGTGAGAATGTGGATCATAACCTCCAATGGAGCGTTATTTTACAGTAGGGCGTGGATAGTCTCTATTTAGGGAGTTAGAACATTTAGAACCCATATATCTGTCATGCTACAGGTATGACATAGATTAATACATACATGTCAATTAATTGTCCTTTTGGGACTTTAAACCATATAATTTGCTACGCATTAGGTGTGCACCGTATTAATATTGACATGTTAAAGGATTGTCCTTCCAGGACTTCAATTCATATCATTTGCTATGCAACATGCGTGCATCATATTGATCACTGCTATACCCATGTTCTGTTCTTATGAGACTTTAATCAATGCAGTGTATCATTAATGTATCCAACTTACAATCTGTGAAATTTGCATTTATAATTCATGAATACATATCAGAATGATACAAGCCATTCTTTTGGAATGGTCATAATATAAGTCATTCCTTTTGGAATGATCTTTAATGCAAGTCATTCTTCTGGAATGGTCTTTTGCATGGCGTTCTTCTAGAACAACCTTATCTCCCCATTTGGTTACCTTTAAGGATGTCGTACAAAATATCAAAATAAGAGTACAAGCATGAAATAACACAAGTGTTTCTTACATCCTTAGGTGGGAGAAACTTTGCTCAAATATCATTCAAGCTCGTATCGGCTTAGCAAATCTAATGCAATGCTTGATGATCCAGTTATATCCTGCAAAGCAAAAATCACAATTCTTCTATCTCTGTCAAAAAAATAACCCTCAATGTTAGGTTCACTATATGAATTTGTTCTTTTGATGGTGGATCTGAAGAAACAAAATCCCTTATGAACAGAGAGTTATAAAAAGAATAAAAACATACAAAGAATTGTGATATTGATTGTAAGGTAGGTAAGAAATCAGGGAAGAAAACTAGTGAGGTAACGAACAACAAGCTCTTATCTCCCCATTTGGTTACCTTTAAGGATGTCGTACAAAATATCAAAATAAGAGTACAAGCATGAAATAACACAAGTGTTTCTTACATCCTTAGGTGGGAGAAACTTTGCTCAAATATCATTCAAGCTCGTATCGGCTTAGCAAATCTAATGCAATGCTTGATGATCCAGTTATATCCTGCAAAGCAAAAATCACAATTCTTCTATCTCTGTCAAAAAAATAACCCTCAATGTTAGGTTCACTATATGAATTTGTTCTTTTGATGGTGGATCTGAAGAAACAAAATCCCTTATGAACAGAGAGTTATAAAAAGAATAAAAACATACAAAGAATTGTGATATTGATTGTA